TCATAATAATTTGCAAGCAAAAGTACCCGTCCCCAGTGACGGGAAAATTTTAAGTTAATCTATCAATTCAAACTATTTCATGGACTTTAAAAATGTTAATTGTGTTGCGCTCTTGGTTTCACTCAGAACTACTTATACTGCCCACCGCGAAAAGTAATTGTCAAGCTTACGTTAAATCTACATTTGTATTCTTTAAGTTAGGTCACATTTTGAAAAGTGTAAATAACCTGATTAATTCCTAACAATTTAGTGTAGGATATCCTGCTTGCAAAATAAAATTTGGCATCAACATTATTCGTGCCTGTTCTCCGGTCATTTCAAAAGTGAATGTTGAGCTTCACCTGCGTGCGCAGCTTTTCAAGCGGAAGGGAGACAGATGAACGCTCGGCTAGACACCATGGTTCGCAGTATACATAAAATTACTGTTTCTACACACTACAGTTATTATTTACAATTATAAAACGTGGTCTACCGACACTCGACTTTTACTCTATATAGTCTTACTCGGACCTCAAGTAGCGACAGAGTATGAAACAATTCAGTATATACGAAAACTATCTCTCATGATGAAATTTATATCTAGGATGAATTTACTGTTGAAAATAAATACAGTTGTCTAAGTACTATATAACCGTATTAAACCGTCGCTATCCAGAAAACGTTTTGTAGAACACGTGGTGAAAGACTTAAACTGTAAACAAAAATTAGGTGTAGCATTCTGAGTTTACTGGAGGTTTTGAACGAAAATCGTTTAGCTATTTCGAAGCTTGTTTAAAAGCAACGTTTCTGTCTATTAGAACACGTCCATAGACCTGCGCTAGTAGATCAAATCTTCAAAATAAGTCTCATCAGATAAGCTTATTTTCATTTTTTGTGTCCAGTTGAAACCAACTATCCAAAACGAGCGTATTCTGACGTTTTCTGATCATTATATGAAGCCTATATTATAGAAACAATCGTTCAGTATTAATAATAACAGTTTACCGGTCTAATACCAAAGTTAATAATTTTATGATAGGGGATCCTCAACATACTGACAAACGTCATGTGGTTATGTCATATATAGCTCACAGTATTTCTGGGCAATGAAACTAAGCCATGAGCCTCAACATACTGACAAACGTCATGTGGTTATGTCATATATAGCTCACAGTATTTCTGGGCAATGAAACTAAGCCATGAGCCTCAACATACTGACAAACGTCATGTGGTTATGTCATATATAGCTCACAGTATTTCTGGGCAATGAAACTAAGCCAT